AGATCGCATTTTGTAGAAATTCTTTTTCCTGCGTCAAAGCGGCATTTTTAAATTGATGCAATCCTCGTGTCACCATCGATTTCAATACAGGTGCCATCGAACGAAACATCGATTCAGCATATTTCCTAAACCATGGCGTCATTGTCGAGCGGCTCCTCAATTCAATCGATACATGACTTACAAGTCGCTAGGAAACCTTTCCGAAAATGGAGTTTCGTTGTAATTTTCCATTTTGAGAATGTAATCTTTTGTCCCAGATCTCCTTTTATACCAATGTTGACAGAGACAAAATACTACTTTCTAACTGTAAACAGTAAAAATGTGTATATTCTCGATGAACGTGAAAAGTGTTTCCACCTTCCTCGTCATTAATTCTGGCAGAATCCACTTTGAAACGAATGACTCTCAGTATCGGTGCGGCTGTGTTCTGATTGAAATGTTCAGGTATATTTGTGTCTCCACCGACATTTCAAACAAATTACAATTAAAACTGATGAGGTATCCTTAAATTTTATTTTCGATAGTGACACTTCGTTTCGCTTTGTCTAGGGTTTTGCTAAACAGTTCCTTGGACCTGGAAGAAATTGTATGAACCAAATATTGACCGTTAAAGTAATACCCTGCCGGAATGTTCACATTATAGATGGTGAATAATGGTTTCCGCATCGGTTTTTTGATACCTGAAAATCCGATTTGATTCATGAATTGTTGCACGTTTTCGCTTAAGATTGCAACGTCGAAATTGTTTTGATTTTCAGCGATATTTCTTTTTTGTGTGGGATGAATAAGTTTGGCCAAAGATACTTCCTGATTCGCTTCACGATCCAATTTGATGGCCTGGGGTAATTCGGCCGTGAAAAAGCGCAAGGTATTGTGGGGAAACACATCCGGAAACTGTGATTGGTTAGAGCTAATCAAAATTGGTTATTCATACTTTTAGAGTTCTGCTTTCAAAGGGTCACTCCAGGTCAAAGGAGAGTTGAAAAGAGGGTTGTTGCTCAGGTGACTGTTGGGAAGGTCACTGACATTGGATAAAACCTCCGTTGTTACAGTTAGATTATTTCAGGGAAGGATTAGATAGAAGGTAACCGATACCACTGCTCTGTAAAAGGTCGCAAATTGTTCGTATCCTAGTTGCAAACTCAAATTGATCATGGCTGCACTGATAACACAATACACCAAGAACTCAGAGAAGGGCTTGGTGGTCATTTCCTTTTATACTCAATGACTTGCGAAGAGTCTATCCAAGAATTAAGACTGGGTGAGTATCCTTTCCAACGTACGTTGATTTTTTTTTGACAATTCGTTGGACTCTTTTATGGGTTCTTTGATCGAGAATGCTTTCCATGTCGTTCACCTCGTCGTCTTATTAGGTCAGTCGTTGAAACTCGGGCAAGTTTAAGGTACCTTTCAACACTTCTCTGTTATGTCTTGCAATTTATAGACGGCAGGATGACGGCCACGCACTCGTCCAGTGACACGAAAAAGTTATATGGTTCGTTGGGTCAATAACCTTTGTCTAAAGTGATTTTGGTTTGCCAATTCGTCCTAAATCTCTCGTCGTCAAAACGCCACCTTTTTGGAGGACAGCACCAGTCGGAGGCGTATAAATGAGTCTCTTCGTAGTCTGGAGTCACTTCTTGGGGGTCTATCTGATGTTCCATGGTAAGATTGTACGTTTTGATCACGTGTGGTAAGACGACGATGTACTTGAGAGTTTGTTAATGCGTACAATATTTTCACATGCGTTCTTTCAAAATGCGCTGTGTTCCACTATGCTGGCTTGGGTTTTGGGATTCTGGGTGGTGAAAAAAGATGAAGGTCTAGTTTCTTCAATTCAGTTTCGAAACCTTGGTTCAGAAATTGTGCATTTGTCTGTTAGCCATTGAAGAGGGTGACGATGAGTCTTTTTAACACCAGGTTTAAGGCATGTACTAACTCTGAGCTCGATTTTGAAGTCAATGCCACGACCCGAGCAAATTAAGAAAAGACTCCGATGACAGAAAACAAATGTTTGTGACCCCGATTGAAGGGGCCCCAAAGAGAGATATATGCTACATCGGTTTGCGGTTGATGATCGACGCCTTCCACTCGTGTGCGACTTCTATAAAATAATTGTCGAATGGGTTTGTGGAATGTTTGTAGCTTGTTGTTGTTGTTCTTACAAATGATGGAATTCTATCTATTCTTTGTAACGCACTAAAATCTGTTTTCGTCTTTCTATCAGATTCTAAAGAGCACGTATGAGATCTTTTGAACAATGACGTTCCTTTCATATTATTGGTCCATTTTATCTTGGAATGGGTGTAACACCTACCATGAGTCCTCCCAGCACTGTTCCCGCTACTCATTTCCCGCTATTCCTTATCATCTGATGGATATTTTTTGGCCAATTGACGAGGAATGTCTCGATGCTAGGTAGTGTTCTTTCTGATTTTGGAAAAAGGTATCTTTTTTCAAGAAATTTATTCAACATTCTCACACGGTATCGATTATGTCTTTCAAAGCTGTTTGAATTAGTTGCTTTCGCATGGTTGAAGAGGGTTTGGACAGAACCGAGAACACATCCCAGTGATTGGTTAAACGAGAGGACAGTCCTTTCCGTTTCTTTCCATTTTGGAGTGAAGAGGAATGGTTTCTTGGGGTTGCCATCTTTTTTCTTTCAGAAACAAAATATACATCGATGACTGTCACACGTCCTTTTATCTTATTGTTTGGATGCATCTTTTAGAGAAGTTCCTTGAGATAGTGGTTTCCATGGTTTCCATCTTTTTATGAAATTGGGAAAGACCTGTGTCAAGTCAGGTTTGGTTGACATCACTAACAACATTGACGTGCAAGAACCTGAGGCTACTGGTGACACGGTCACCGTCGCTGGTCGTGGCTTGGGGATGAAAGGTTACATTCGGTCAAAAATGCCTCTCTTGCGGGTAGAAGCTGCCTTTTTGGGTCTTTTCTTGGGACTTTTCTTTCTCTGAAGCTGTGACCTGGTCTTTACATTACCACTACTCTTTTTCTTCTTGACACGTTTGGATGGTGAATGACATTTTCTTATGGTTCACTGCTGGGACCGCTAGAGAACCGCTGCCTCCAGGCTTCAAATTGATTTGCCTTTTGGTTTCTGAGCCTATTCGGGGATCTCCAGTTCCGTCAAGGGTACATTGTATTTCTCAGAAAGGTGTTTGGTCTGATGAAGGATGAGAATGATGACACGGAAGTATTTATTTGCTGTAAACCATCGTAAGACTTCTCTGATACTGGCTTCTAAGACACATGTGTGGATTTTTTTCGCGACTGATGCCGTACAAGCTCAAATCAATTTGACTGGAAGATGAGACTGAAGGGATGTCATGCTGACGATATGTGAAACAGTGCAGAAGTGTTCGAGGTATTTGTAGTTTTTATTTTGTCATATTGATATGGACTTGTAGATACAGGTCCCCTTCTTAGCAAACGTTGTGCAACAGATTGGTACGAAATCGAAAATAATCACGGGTGGTGGGTTTTAACTCTACGAGTAAATAGGCGTGAGGGGTTTGACCGGCATCGTCGTACACATTAGTCAGCCAAGGAGTTCGTAAGTGTATAGCTGGCACATGCATATGCGATTTATCTCTCAGACTTTCAAACAAGACCACGTAATGAGCATTCAGACTGATAGTAAGATGACCTTTACTTTGTAGGAACAAATTTTGGATGATGCAAATGACAATGGCATATCGATGATGTCTTTTGTACGAAAACCACAGTTTAATTTCTTCTTCGTCTTCTCCATGCATGTCCTCGAAGAAGACCAGATGTGTTTGACTGGGGTCAGAAACGATTCCGTTCTCTTCGTGAGCAATGCTTTCTACAAATAGGATGGAATCTTCTAGACTTTCTTGCAAGAGACTGTTCATTGATTGGTCTTCTTTGTAATACTAACTGATGATGTGCACGATCAATCAAATAACTTTTATGTTCGATCAAACGTTTGACAAATTCGGATTGCCTGAGCAGCTGGGTACAAGCATTTAACATATTAAATAGATGGCGAAGATACAAGACTCACACCTGGCACCATCTAAGTTGTCGTTGACTTTGAAATTGGAGGAAGAGGTACTAGAGACAGCGTGTGTAGTCATAGCGCATGTGTTGACACTTTTGAAACGAATACAGACAAGATAAGAGTTTTTATACTTTATTCAGGACACGTTTATTCAAAAATTTAAAAGTGGATCTGAAATTCAAAAATACGTAGGAGCGAAATAGTTAAGTACATCGATAAAATACACATAGAACGTTTGAAGTGAATATAAACAAGTCACCGTACAACATTGGTTTTTATATCCTCTTTTGTCGGAGGTAATAGATGTAATATTTCCATAGAGCTAATTATACTCCATTTGTGAATCGAAAACGTTTAGTCACTACTTCACACATCACACAGCGAGCATAATTTTCCTCTACAGCCAATATTCCTTTTTGTTAAAGATTTGTTTTATTCTCTTAGTCTTTCTCTGGAATTATTTGTAGAATGGACAAATTGAAAGAATAATAAACACCCAAATTAGTCTGGTCCTCTGGTAGTTTATCAATATCTGACCATTGAAAATCTTTCAAATGAATCAGTCCTCCTATATCATTCGGGTGTCAATAATGTCAATAAAATCTTCTAACTTCGGTCTAAATCGGAATACGTCGGAGAACGAAGCCTTGATCCAGAGAAATCTGATGCGTTTGTTTAGGTTTTCACTTTCCTCTGGTGAATTTCTCGACACAAATGTTCTATAATCATAAATTGAGATTATGATCTGGCAAGTCCCAACCAAACATCCTTGTAGATCTCTTTCAATTCGTTTGGTAATCTTTGAACTTGACTTTCCAAATGTTGCGTAAATACTTGTCCCTGTGCTGTTTACCCGTTTTACTACTAGCCAAGCTGAATTCTTAAGCAAGATGGTATGATACTTACTGTAGACACTTCAATTATTGAGCTCCCACTAAAGGTAGGGGAAACCGCTCTGGTGGCCTAGTGTTTAGAATGTCCGCCTTAGATGCGGAAGGTCGTGGGTTCTATCCCCGGTCGAATTATGCCAAATACTTACAAAAATAGTACTAACACCTGCCTGGCTTGGCGCACAACATTAAGAGGTTAGTGTTAGGACTGATCGGCCTGGTGTCAGGATAATGTGACTGGGTGGGACATCATGCAGTATTTCTGCGGCATGATGCTCCAGTGCTAAACATCACTATAAACTGCCACACTGCAGACATCGTAGCGATATGACTGAAACATTGTTAAAGTGACTTTAAAAATCATAAACACCACCACCACCTAAAGGTAGCAAGAAGACAATTGAGTATGTCCTTGGTAAGCCGAATCTTTCTGCTCCCACTCGTGAAGTGACACACCGCAACTGAAGCACTTGACTTTTTCACTTTCGCCCAAGTAGACGACAAATCCATCTCTGGTTAATTCTTCGGGGTCATTAGGCCACCTTCCTTCAACGTTTGAATAATCTTTAAAAGTTTCAGTTTCCAGACTCATGCAAGGAATTTTTTTATTTCACAGGCTGATTCGGTTGAGGCAGTGGTGATACTTGCTAAGGCATATATGACATCTGTAGGGAGGTAGTAGCACTGTAGTATGAGGTTGAAGATGAAAACCAGTAAAGAAATAAGGTATACTGTAACGATTGGCATCGCTTTTGCATTCATCAGTTTCGACGCGTTTAAGTTTCCATGGTAAGTGTAGTGGTAGTGATAACGAAGTTCTCATGATGTGCTGAATCGCTGAGGTCACAGCTTACCGCATCCCATCAATCTCAAGCCATAGCATCGCACTAGACTTGAGAATTACAGTTTTGAATTGTTTCCAACTGAAATATTTCATGTTTTAGCTTGGTTCATCTATCTCGTAATGAAATATAGGTTTTGGACGTTTTCTCTTTTATATGCTTACCAATTTCTGTACGGTTAAGTAAAGTGGTTGGGAAGTCGCACTTGCTTTTGGTACACGATTTGATACAGTTTCCCAAATGTAGATTGACGATTTGATGTGTGGATATACGTGCGATTTTGTGTATCTATCTATCTATCTATCTATCTATCTATCTATCTATCTATCTATCTATCTATCTATCTATCTATCTATCTATCTATCTATTTATCTATCTATCTATCTATCTATCTATCTATTTATCTATCTATCTATCTGTCTATCTATCTATCTATCTGTCTATCTATCTATCTATCTATCTATCTATCTATCTATCTATCTATCTGTCTATCTATCTGTCTATCTATCTGTCTATCTATCTATCTATCTATCTATCTATCTATCTATCTATCTATCTATCTATCTATCTATCTATCTATCTATCTATCTATCTGTCTATCTATCTATCTATCTGTCTATCTATCTATCTATCTATCTATCTATCTATCTATCTATCTATCTATCTATCTATCTATCTATCTATCTATCTATCTATCTATCTATCTATCTATCTATCTATCTATCTGTCTATCTATCTATCTGTCTATCTATCTATCTATCTGTCTATCTATCTATCTATCTATCTATCTATCTATCTATCTGTCTATCTATCTATCTGTCTATCTATCTATCTATCTATCTATCTATCTATCTATCTATCTGTCTATCTATCTATCTGTCTATCTATCTATCTATCTGTCTATCTATCTATCTATCTATCTATCTATCTATCTATCTATCTATCTATCTATCTATCTATCTATCTATCTGTCTATCTATCTATCTGTCTATCTATCTATCTATCTATCTGTCTATCTATCTATCTATCTATCTATCTATCTATCTATCTATCTATCTATCTATCTATCTATCTATCTATTTATCTATCTATCTATCTATCTATCTGTCTATCTATCTGTCTATCTATCTATCTATCTATCTATCTATCTATCTATCTATCTATCTATCTATCTATCTATCTATCTATCTATCTATCTATCTATCTATCTATCTATCTCTTACGCACACGCACAGGAACATTAAATATGACAATTAACATTTTCCCGTATTGACATCTGCACTTTCTTCATAGGTCGGTAGACTCGTCTTTACATCCATTAGAAATGCATTAGCTCAGTGACACGAGCTATAAAGAGATTCGATATAAATGTTGGTTTGTTTCACGGGTCATTTCTATGACGAGCGAGCTATACACGTGACCCCAAACGATGAAAATATCCCACATTTAAATATTTATTTGCTTCAGGTGTCAGTTTAGTGATACCAGATCCATATACACACATCCATTAGAAAAACAACGGAAAAATTCTCATGTTCATAACATAAACGAATAGAAACGGATTAATTTAGCACAAATCCTAGCTTCGAAGTATTACTATGCTTTACGTGTCAACTAAGGGGTGATCGAGAGAGATAATTGAGTAACCACTGTTTAAAAAACACATATTCTGATATAAATATGTATTTATTTGACGGGTCAGTTAACTGACAAGCGAGCTATTACGTACATGACTCCAAGATATACACTCAGTCTCGTATAAATGTGTTTTTCACCAGTCAACTATGGTCGAATGAGCTATGTACAAATCTGACCCCAAGATGGGAAATAATTTTTATAGAAGTTCAAAATGGGTTTTATTTGGTATTAAAGCTTTAAGTCATGCATGAGCTGGCATTGTGTATAGAAAGTAGGCATTAAATGTTTTAAGGTACAAACCATTATAGGGCAAAACGGTGCTCACCTTGCTATCAAGGGTCACCGGGTAGTCGAGTGGTAAAAAGTTTTCGAGTTTACAGACGAGTGACGTATTACCTCTGACCGCGTGTATTCGAATATCGAACTCAACCAAATTTGGGGCATATGATGAAGTTTGCTAGTAGCTTATCATAGTTCAACCAAATATCTTGAGTGTTATATCAAACCTAAACTAATTTCTACCTTTCTGCCAACAAATATTCGGAACTTTCGCATGACGTAAAACATGACGTAACCAATGCATTATGAAAGACAATCATTATAACGTAGTATGTTGGTAATTATATAAAGAGACACACCTGCAACAGTTTGTACACATACACACATACATAGTGCATCATGCATACGACTAGCTCTACTCACATGCATACATATTACCATAACTACAAGGATATATATATATATATATATATATATATATATATATATATATATATATATATATATATATATATATATATATATATATATAAGGACACGTTTTCGTCAATTATTTAGATCCAATCAAATCAATCGACATTTAATACAAATGTCAATTCATTTCTTACCAAATTCTGAATACAGGAAAGGAATTGGTGTGCTCGCTTTACGCTTCGGTATATAATAGGAATTGAAGGCAAATATTTTCGATATGCTTGTCAATTTCAAATTTCAAAACTGCCCATCAATAGGGCAAATATTTAATATGATGTGATGGAACAGCTGTAACTTTAAATCGATTGGAATGCCCATAAAGTTTATCCTTCTGTAGAAATGATTTAATGCTTTTGGTTTCTTATTATAGCTGAGATTTATAGTTTTGAAACATCTCCGAATTTATGAAATATTAATATCCTCACAAATATCAATGATATTTCCACTCGTTTTTTTTTTATAGAAAAAGACCCACAATTACTCGATCATAAACATCAGTTCGAAATTTTAATTTACTAAAACTCAATATTATAGTTTTCTTGGATAAACTCTACAGCACTTCTGAATTTTGCAATATCATCAGCTGTTAGTAATATCGACAGTGTTGAGCACATTTTGGTTTAACAAAATTTTTGTTTCAAATATAGTTCCTTGGCAATCTTTCTATTGTAGAAATCAGGTTGTTTAAAAGCTTTGGAAATAGCAACACCATACCACACCCCAGAAAAACTCTTTAAGAAAGACCAGACTCTATCCAGCAAACATGAACAGAATTCTATATTTTGATATAAAATTAGAATAATTCAAAAGGTAAAGTGTCGTATATATTGCTTTCAGGCATTTTCTAGGAAGACCTTACCAACAAAGTTAACCAGGAGCTTCACCAATATCATTAATGCTATTTTCTTTTGTGTTTAAGAGTTTCTGATATGAATATAAGAAACATATTTAAGATTTTAATGAGTACGCAGTACCAAATCCAGCTTCGGTTTTAGTTAATATGTGGTGATGGTTGAGAAAACATTTGATCGGTAATCTTCTGGTTGTAAATGATCTCCGCTATGAGCATAAATTGCTCTTACGATTGTATCAAGCCATGATTCTGGGATAAGACCTGTCTCAAATAATAATAATTGAAAAGGAGATGTAACTGGTCATCAGCAAATTTTACTTGCTTCTAAATATTCATTGCAATCCCTTCCAAAGCAAGAACCACAATAAAACCATCTGAACTTTGCAGACGGTTCGAAATATGGAGACATGGTTGCAGGAGATTTCCTTCCCCTGATGAACCCATTTCATAGATAGTTGGATGCAAAATTTAATTATAAAGCTTGATTAGAGTATTTTGTTTGTTAGGAATTATTTAGATTCACTTAAGAACGAACTGATAAACGCAGCAGCGAAATTCAGTATGATAAAGTGTACGCAGCATTTGTTCGGATGAAATTCAAAAGAACGTTGAAAGCATTAAAATTTCAAATAAAAAAGTAGTGAATGGTCAATCCTTAAATATACTCGACTAACAGTGGATATTGGCAAGCTACAAGTCCAGATTTCTCAATGTGGCAGTCAATATGCTAGTCTCATGATTAACGTACCGCCATTTAACATGTACAATTATTTCTTGGTTTGTCGAGACGTGTCTAGGTGAAATGTCAATTTTCATTGAAATCTCAATCTACATCGATGTGTCCATCATACATTAGTTTATGGACTTTTTTCCCCTGAAGAATTTAGAAACTCTTTTGACAACAAGCAAACGGGTCGTAAAAAATATTTTCAAATACCATCAATAAATTTATTTAACAATTAGGTAAACATTAATGATGGGATTGATTCCTCCGTTGTCATTTTATAATTATATTGAAATGTTATTGTCTGACTTCTATAACCGCTTGA